GGATCTTTCGCTTTTGATCCATCAGGATTACTGACTCCTGAGAGATCCAATGCCTTCGGCGAACTTCGGACTCCGTCCCACAAGCAAAGTTTGCTGCTGAGTGCATCGCAAATCGAATCTGATTCCACTGTTGGTCTACTCTACTATATTGCGGTTTTCCTAGCTCCTATCCCAGCTTCTCCTCATAACGTGCGCAGAGAGCTGGTCGTGCAGATGATGATGATGAGCTAACTGAGGCGATTTCTGCCGAAGAGTCGAAGAGTGAAGCGTAACAGAACTAGTGCATGGTCCGACTCAACGCAGTTGGTCCAATAGGATCTGCAATTTTGTACTGAACCACGCCAACGGTAGCTCACAGCTATATGGTCAATTTCGGTCAATTTTCCCTTTGAACTAGAACGCCATGTAGCCGTTCGACGAAAGCTGTGTCGAAAGTTGGTGCTAGATAACAACAGCCGGTGATCCGCGCAGAACTGCAGTAGTCGATCACGGTTATCTGTTCACTGGGCGGTGAGGGCGAAGTGCCCTCCTAGACAAGCTTCGGATGCGCTCAGTTCTCCAACCTGCGCGTTAAAATCACCTGTCAGCACTATAATATCAGAGTTGCGGATCAACCGAATCAGTTCGGCGAGTTTGTCGTGAAATTCGTCTTTTTGTGAAGCGAGACTGCAGTTGGTTGGTGCATGCGCGGAAATGATGAACAAATACCTTTTGGTATTGCTACCCTTCCGAACACTAACTGAATCCCGTAGCCTCATGGCGCACAAACGACTATTGACGGGTATACAATCTATCATAGGGGCCTCAGCTTTATCGTTTAGTCCGACACCTACACCTACCTGATGTGCGAAGAAAATACCCCGAGGATAGACCCGGCGCACTCAGGTGGTCTATAATACTAGGATCCTGAATTTGCGTCTCCGATAAACAACATACATCGATTTCTAGAGACTTCATTGTACGCGCAAAACACGTCTGTTGACCCACCTGCATAAGAGTCCTCACATTGAAAGCTCTCAGATTGAGAGGTTCACGAGGTTTCAGAATCTGCACTTTACAGAAAAGCCTCCGAAATCCTCAGTATAGTCGGGAGGTGGGTGTCTAGGATTGCGGCTGGTCACCCGTCCCTTGCATCTCGTGAAATGCTCCCATACGACCAAGGGTCTCAAATTGCCTCTGCTACTCACTGCTTTCTCGTGGTGGTGTTTTTGTACGAAAGTGAGAGGACGAAAAGCCGATATCCGGGGCTATAACCGGGTTGGTGAACCACTGGCAGTTCACCTAGGGGAGTTGGCTAAAACCCTGATTTCGAATCAGCCATGAGGAGGCGTAAGAACCACACCCACACCTTTCCGGTTGTTGCAATGGCCACCCGCTCGATTGGGCATCGTGGTGTATTGGGCACCTTGGACGTTTGACCCCGTCCGAAAGGCGTATGATCCGATGAACTGGACACCGGCTCCCAATGGATTGCGGTTTTCGCACACCACCCCGCTGCCTTTCGGGTCAGGCTTCGGCTAGCCGAAGGCTCCGGTAGTGGGCTCCCCAAGAAAATTCACCTGCCTTGGTCTGGGCAACCTGGTACTATTCGGCTCACTTGCAAATCATGGAGCGTTCTTCTTTTTATTTAGCACAGTCTGGCATCAGACGTGTATGAAATATATATATATATATATTTACAGGAAAACTAGTTACAGCGTTATTTGACAACGACCTTTGACGAGTGACATCCAAGTTGTGTGAGGGAATGTTATGGATTGGAAGATGGGGTAAAGGAATAGGGATGGGTGCGGAAGACAAGGAGTAAACAAAGATTGGGATATCTGAGCAGTAGCCCATTTATCCCTACCAACCCCGCTCGATGCAATGGGCAGCGCGGTCTTGATTATCCTGAGCGACGACCGATGCAGTATGGAATTATCTTTTGGTTGTGTATGCATTTGGGTTTGATTGACGGGTACTGCTAGGGCGTCCAGACACTATGCAGAACGATTAGGTTCCTCGTCCGAAGCCTTTAGTTCTAACAAGAACCTAACCGTAAGGCAGCGGGTGAGGCGAAGTGGAGGCCCATTTAGTTGGATCAACTATTCTTCCACCGTTTTTTACCGACTGAAACGCAAATTCCAGTCGAACCCCGAACCTGGAGGACCAAGAGACTGAACTTTGTCTGACCTCTACCCATTGGCCTTCCAGGCATGATAAGATCTCCTGGCTTGATAAAGCCATCCTGTGTAGCTCGTAGGGTCACAGAGGTGCACAAGTCATCACACCACGTCAAGGTGCTGTCCTTTCGTGACGGAATGTGTAAAGCAGATAGGGATTGGACTTAATTTTAGGGCGGGAAAAGAAAGCGAACCTCAATGGTCAACACAGAGTACACAGTCCAACTGTGCATACATACTATTTCAAGCATTCTGGCCTGATAAGTGACAGCATGAACGCATGCTGCTGGTTTGCAGCCATGATCTTCAGTGTCTCCAACAATGCGGTTTCGGAGTCTTTTGAACACCATCCCGGAAGACGAGAAACACCTACTGTACCTAATCGCTCTGTGCATTTCTTCAGGTCCGGTTAGGCTCTCTGGCTGGGAACCTCGGGATGATCGTAACCGATGGTTAGAGACACTGAGTGATATCGCTGGATGTCGTAAACAGTGGCGTTCGTGCATCCCAATTTCCTTGCAACCTTAGACCACTGAACTTCTTCATTTCCGTTCGACTCCACTTTCAACTTTCCTTTCTTCTATTCTTCATCCAAATGGGCAGCCAAAAG